TTCTTAATTAAATATAATTAAAACTGATTAACGGTTAATTAGGCCTCATTTAACACCTGACTCCCTTAAATTATTATTATAGAACGTATATATGATGAAAAGATTTGTTTCTCGTAAATGTGATATTATTTCCACAAGCATATGTAAAGGGAGTAAATTTCTCATACTAGTTTGGGTTCCGAATTATGGGCCTCATATACAACGGCCACAAATGGGGTTTCCCACTGTGAAAATAATCAAATAATTAAGTAGTAAAATTCTTAAATATGTTAAAAATGAATTTGTAGTTCAAAGTTGTAATTTTCTCAAATATTTAAGCCAAAATTTGAGCATTTTCATCACAAAAAATAATAATTAAGTTGAAATTATTTTTTCAGTGGAATTTGTGTCATATTTTAAATTAATTCAACGTGATTTTTCCAACAATGAAAAATTATTTATCGGTGTCACTAATTTCAACAATTATTGCACCTTTTAATAGTTTTTTGTTCTACAATAATAAGTTGTCGTAAAAATTGATGCTGGAATAATCAAATTAAACTCCAACTAGAACTCTATATGGGACATTTAACTTCAAGTCTCCAACGATTTTTTTCGGCGTTGATCTCCATTGAAATATTTTACCATCGAAAGTTATAACATCGAATATCCATTGTAATTATTCGTATTAATTAGAACGTTTTACTTTTGGATTTTCATTTGATACATTATTTCTTTCTAATGTGCATATATTAACTAGCATTACTATGGAAGAAAAATATCATACGCATACATAGTGACGTGAAGCAAAATTTTTCGAAAATTGTGGAGACAAAAATCTGCACCCTTTGTAATTCTTTATTGCAATAATCCCACATTACTCGATGCAAAGGATTCCATTTTTCCTTACAAAACAATATTAAAAATAAAAAATAAAAAAAATAACGATAACATTGTATTTCTGTCAATTTAACAACAATATTATTCTGTACACATCAAACAAAATAAAAACCTATCTATCACTTCATACAAATCAAGAATAGCAAACAAACAAACAAACATAACACAAACTTTGATGACTACCACACTACATAATAATGAAAAAAAAAATAAGGAGAAAATCTCACTCAGAAATTTGTTCCCAATTCACAAACACAAATCCAAATTAGTTGCATTTATTTCCATCTCTCGATTTTTCCCAATAATACCATGAGCTTCTTTAGTACTCGAGGAAGAAAACAAGGATAGAGATAACAAGCTATTGTTATCATCAACATGTTCCTCGTTAGAACAATCCTCGATCGAGCCAGTTTTCATTTTCTTCTCGTTCGCTCGTGTCGTTTTTAAGGAGAGGTTGAGGTCGAGACCATTATTTGCATCATCGGATAATAATACCTTTCGTTTCAAACTAGAATCGTCGTTATTATTAATCACTTCTCGGGCGGCCATTTCGCAAGGGCCGTGTGGCGATTTATGTTGCGTGGAGTTTGCTGCTGGTTGGGTCGACCAGTCATACTTCTGATCTGCAAGAATTTTCCGATCGTTTTCTAGGAATCTCCAAGAATTTTGTCGGTTGGCGTAAAAATCGAAAACCCTTGGTGATAATAAGTAAGTATTATTGCAATTGGTCCCGATAGATGTCGATGACTCGGATAGTCGATTTTTAGCCATTTTCGATGTCGTTGATGAGAAGATGTTGTGTGGCTTGAACATAGGATTGGCTTGGTTAGCCCAAAAGGCATCACTACAGCTACAAAATTTGGTTAACAAAAAAAAAAAATGGAAAAGAACTTAAATTAGTTAGGGTTTACAAAAAAATACAACCTTTTTTTGCAGTTGTAAGAAGAAGATAAGAAGTTTATGGCTCACAAAAACATACCGTAAGCTGGAATTTGGTGTTTGATTGGTACTTTGTAGGATTGGGAGTTGGCTGAGTTTGTAGATATGTCGGTCACCGGCATCGAGCAGAAGTCTTTGTTCCGAAATAACTATCGACGAATCGAAATTTAATTTAGAAAAAAAAAAAAATGATCCTCAAATTTGAAGTTGAATTTGAATTTAAGTCCAATAAAATTAATTAAACCTATATAGTTTGCTTTGGCAAAATTTTACATGAAAAATACCTTGATTGGGATCATCAATCTTCTTGCTTCTGTACATCTGGTTAAGTGACACAAAACAAAAAACAATTTGAAAAATAGAATACATTTAGCATAATTAGTAGAATATTAAGCTTAAAAACCCTAATTAATAACTTAGAAACTATAAGAAATTTTGTGAGATAATTATAATATTGTGCAAGTATTCCATATAATTTAATTTACTATTTCAATCATAATTAAGTTCATGATATATATATGTACCTGAAGATGGCTCTTGACATGAGCAATACTAAGACCTTTAACATTCATCAACTGAAGCACCAATTTAGGAGTTGCCCCTGCACCAAATATATAATTAAAAAATCAAACATACAAACACAAATGAAATTCAAAAAACAATTAATTATTGGTTTTTATTTTTATTTTTTATTTCTAAAAAAATGCCCTTTAATTAATTAAATCATCATTTTCCTATTCCCCCAAATTAGTTAAAACTTACTTTCTTCTCCTCCCAATCTCTCAACAGCATGAACAAAGCAGCGGTGGAGCTCCGGTGTCCACCGGAGCCGAGGAGTCTTTGACCGGATGTACTGCCTCACGGGTCCCGAATTGACCTTTTTGCCCTTGATGCTCTCCTCAACCGTGCTGTTGCTCGAGCTGTTTCCGTTCGTTTCTTGTGCTCCGGTCGGCTGGTTCTGAAGGGTAGTTCTGGAATTCTCCATGGCATGATCATCATCATCACTTGGTGATGAGCTTGAGCAATTAGGTGTTTGCATATTATGTATGAATAATGAGTGATGATCAAGGAATTGTGTATGTATGGATAGTCTTGAATTAGTCAAGGGTTTGTTGATTCTTCTTCTTTTTTT